CAGGAAGAAGTCTGCTAGTCAGCAAACAGCTAACTGACAAAGCATGCAAGTTCCAATCTGAAGGAACCTACATGGACAACCCCCTGCCTCCAGTCTCCCAAACAGTTGTCAGCGCTGTAGAAGATCCCAAACGTCGGAAGTTACACAGGGACAAAAGGTGGTATCATTTAAGTTGTCAGGCTTTATACAAGCCATCGCCAATTGCATTCAGAAGTGAACAGCAAGCCAGTGAAGCACAACTGTAATGAACTCAGAAAGTCTGCACACTCAGAAAGCAGCTTGCAGAGTTGTGCCTTAGCTGAACCTTCTGGATGGTCTTTGAGGGTAGATGCAAGGATCACAAGTTGCCACCGTCCAGCCTAGAGGTGGCAGAGGCACAGAGAACCATGGTGAGATCTTCTCTGGTGAAACCAGAGAAAAGGTCAAATTCTCCCAGCCAAGCAAAAATAGGTAAAAGCTCTGCTACCTGGCAATCGAGGAGTGGAGAAGAGTTCAAAAGAATGCCTAGACTGTAAATCTCTCTGATGGCCATATGCTCTCAGCAGAGAGAACTGAGAGCACCCAGCAGCTTCATCTCCATCTCCATCTTCGCAGAGTAAGCTTGAGTCAGCTAACCTGCATCCATGCCCTGTCTCAGTCATGCACCAGGAAAAGGAGACTGCACGGGCTGGATGTGATAAAAGACAGAGCGAAATGACCGCAGCACACTGAGTGCACTACAGCCCCAAACCCCTCTCATTATCTCCCAAAGGGGACCCTCCTGTGTGTTAAGTACTGGTGATGACACAGGCCTGCAGAAATCCACCCCACAAGGCAGCTGAGCCAAATATCACCCTCAGGGACATTTCACTAGAGGGAAAGAAGCCACAGAAGAGCAACCCTGTCCATTCTTGCCAGTCTGCCGGCAAGTCAACCGCACCTCATGGTCAACTGTCAGAAGACTGTTAAAGACAACCGCATTGGCATGAAACCTGACCCATCTCTTACCAGATCATGATGGCCAAATAAATCAGTCTCTGAACCACACACAGGCCTGAAGCCTGATTGGCAAGAACGGTGTGTTGAGAAAAATCAAGAGACCAGAGCTGCTTCACCACACTGTTCTCAACCACCTTCCCCATAAAGGGAACATCTGACAGATAACTGACAAAACTGCCAAATTCAAGCAGTGATTCCCTGAGCAGAGCCCTTGGGATTGCTCAGCTGAGGGAAGCAGATATCCTGATTATTATTCATATCCTCTCTATGAATATCCATGAGTTGTAGACCCCAAATCCCCCCAGCCATGAAGCATAAGATGTGAAGGTGTACCCCATAAGTCTTCATGGGAATATGCTTATGAATATATATATATGATCTAACTGGAATATGTTTTATGCTACATATGTCATGTAACTTATCTATGTAATGGTTATGATATACTGAATACATTCCTCCTATTTGTATGCATGTATCATTTTTGCACTTGAAGTTAGGAATATTGGCTGTATACTTGCTTGATTTCTATTGAGAAAGGAATGTGCAAATTAAATGCCCAATCAAGAGCCACTTAAGCCAACAATGAACTCGAAGATGCCAATCCACATCGGAGCTTTCCCAGGAATGTGGCTTAGCTGACAAGAAACTCAGTCATGCATGGACATGTGACTTGCCGATGTGACTCCAAAACTCCATCTTGGAGCTGGACTTTGCATGGGGGGGGGGTCTCCCCCCGACAAGAGAAAGTCTATTTAAGCCTGTGGGAGACCCCTCCATTTTGTCTTCAGCTGGATAAAGAGATAGCCTCTCCACCCCCAAGG